ACACAGCTCAGTCCTGGGACTTCTGCAGTCCAGAGACTCCGTGACTACCTGCCTGACAGCCAGTGCTGCTCTGCAAGGGCACCCCCCTTTCCTCCTGGAGGAAACAGTGAAAGGGGTGAGGGCTGCAAACAGGCACCAAATGCCCTTCAAATGCCATCTATAGTTTCAAAAAACTCATCTATTCAGGGACCAGCAGTTAGTGTAACGGCTATGTCGCTGGAGTCCCATGTAGCCGACCACGTTTCCAATTCCAGACTGGGTGGCTTAAACTCACGCCAGGCACGTGTGCGAGCGTGCCCAAGATCCCGAGAGGAGAATGGAGGAGAAGGGATTGCAGCGTGGCCAGCCCCGCTAGGGGGTGATTTCTCGCTTTCTGTCTCTGTCTCTCTCTGTCTTTCTATGGGAAGCGCACATGCCCTATAGCAAAAACCTCTCCAAAGAAACAAAACAAAACATAAAAACTCATCTATTCCACTGAATCTACATTCATAATGCTATAGACAGCAAAGGAAAAGTCTTTGACTAGAAAGGTAATGAAGGTTGACGCTATTTAAAATCATCCAGGTTTCAGTTTAAAGACAGCTCGTGGCTCCCTTCAGAAGGAAGGGGAGAAAGGGAGCAGTGGTTCTGAAACTGGGAGAGGTGTGCCGCTTTTAGCCCCGCAGGCTTTCAGGATCCTTGCCGGAACTACTGCCAAATACCTGGAGGGGTTACTTGGTAAAGATGCGCCTATTACGAGAAATTCTCTGCAGGCCGGCGGCATGGTGGTTAAGGTGGCTGGATCCCACATGGCTGTCTGCATGGTTCAAGTCTTGGACCCAGCAGCTTGAAAAACATACCAGGTGCGTGTGTGTGCATGCCCCAAATTGGGAGAATGGAGAAGGGACTGGGGTGTGGCCAGCCCCCCCCCGGCAGAGTCTTTCTCACTTTCTCTCTTTTTGCCTGTCTCTCTCTGGCCAGTGCACATATCTTATGGCAAAACTGACAAAACCAAAACCAAAACCAAGCATCTGTGAAGGGTGCAGTTAACAGGCTCAGCATGCCACAAATAACAAAGCGAGGTACTACGGGCTGTCTTCAGAGCCAGGAGGAAACAAGACGGGGACGGACTAACAGTTCTGGGGAAGGACTGTAGTGTTCTCAGGTGAACAATGAAAAAGGAGCCCACCTCAAGATAGACGCGCTGTCCACTTTTCACAATCAAGAAAACAGTCTCTGTATCGGTCAAGGCAAAGAATATGAAGACAGGGAAGAACAGGGACTCTGCTGATTTCCAATGTTCCTACTCAGACGACGCTTACCCTAGGGCACTGTGGGGACAGACAGGCCCCCTTTTGATACTGCATGGAACAAGGTAGCACTCTTGTGACCATTACAGTCCCACGACACACTTGTCCAGTCTTACACTTTTTTTTCTTTTTAGGAGAGATTTTTGCTATAGGGCACGTGCGCTTGCCAGAGGGACAGAAAGTGAGAAATCACCCACCCCTGGGGGGGATGGCCACACTGCAATCCCTCCTCCTTCAGTCTCCTCTCCAAATTTTGGGCGCACACGCGTGCACACACACAGACATGCGTGTGTGCACCCGCCATGAGTTTTAGGCCGCAAGGTCTGGGAATTGAACTGCAGTGGACAACATGGGAGTGCAGCAATGTAACCATTACGCCATCTGCTGGTCCCAGTTTTACATTTTTTTATACAGTATCTTCTCTGGGCTTCTCGGATCTTATAGGATAGGATACGCAAAGCTACCACTATTGTTTCCATTGTGCGCAGAAATGCATCATTCAAGTGACCTGCCCAAGATCATGTAATCCAGGGGGAAGAGATCTAGACCCAGGCCATCCGATTCTGAGCCAGGGTCCTTTCACTAGGTCTTCAGCAGAGCAACTGAAAAAATTCAAGCTATGTAACATGAGTAGTAACAACATCAGTATTAAGTGCATTTTTAACAAGATGAGTAACGTTAACCACCAAGAGCTAGTTAATACCTGTCCAACAGTCACAGGACTCTGGCTTTTCCGTCTTCAAACCTCATTTAATCTTCAGACTATCCCCAGGAAGGTCTTACGAATGAGGATCTGAGGCTCTTGGCATTAAGTCATTTGCTTGGGGTCAATGATGACGTGTGCAGAAAACATTTAAATATATTAGAACCTTCCTTGCTCCCCAGCAGTCTCCATGAGACGGAATCCGTCACGTCAGACACCCAAGTGTACAGACATAAGTGAGTCCACCAGCAACGGCAGCGGTGGGTAAATGAGTTACCTGAGCAGTAACACGTGTTAATTCATCAGAGGTTTATCAGGCGTGTCTGACTAAATCAGGCAATGGGTAAGTGCGGTGGACAGCAGAGAACGAGACAGATGCCATGCTTCTCTGGAGCTCACAGTCTTTTGGGGGAATTACTGTTACAAAAGGAGAAGCTCAGGCTGCTATGAGTACCTGAAATCCAGAACAGAGTTGAATCTTTCTCACCCTTTTGCGTTTCCATAGATTCAAAGAGTGTTTCAGGGCCAAGAGGTGGCATGGTGGTTAAGGTGCTGGAGTCCTACATGGTCAAGCGCAGTTCAAGTCGTGGACCTGGTGGCTTGCTTTCTTTCCTCTCTTTCTCTGTCTGTTTCTGGCGAGTACATGTACCCTATAACAAATTTTAAAAAATAATAGTAATAATAAATAAAATTAAATAAATAATAATAATTCTATTTTTTTAGAGACAGATTTTTGCTATAGGGTACATGTGCTTGTCCGAGAGACAGAGAGTCACAAAGCAAGAAATCACCCCCCCTTCCAAGGGGGAAGGCCATGCCATAATCCCTTCTCCATTCTCCTCTTGAGATTTTGGGCACGCACGCACGTGCCTGATGTACATTTTAAGCTGCCAGGCCCAAGATTCAAACTGTAGTAAACTATGTGGGAGTACATTTACTTAAAGAATAAGTAATTCTTTAAAAAAAGAGGGACCAGCAGATGGCATAATGGTTATGTCACTGGACTTTCACACAGTTGACCACGGTTCGAATCCCGGACCTGGCGGCTTAAAATACATGCTGGGCACATGTGTGTGTATGCCTAAGATCCCAAGAGGAGAATGGAAGAGAAGGGACTGTAGTGTGGCCATCCTCCCAGGGGGTGATTTCATACTTTCTGTTTCTCCCTCTCTCTTCAGTGGGCGCACACAACCTATAGCAAAAATCTCTCCCTCAAAAAAAGAACCCCCCCCTCAAAAACAAACAAAAAACCAAGAGTGCTTCAACTGGTAATGGGTTTTTCAAATTACGCAAGATTATATTTTCATTAAGACAGTTACCTGGTCAAATTACAAAGGCGAGAGAACAGAATTTCTTGGCTACCTCACTGGGCTCCGTAAGAGAAAGTCGTGGTTTGTTTGTGTTTAGCTGCCAGAGGGCATGTGCACTTACCAGAGAAAGAGAGAGAGATAAAGAGACAGAGAAGGTACCCCCAATGGAGTGTAGCCACACTGCAAACCCTTATTTTTCATTTCTCCATCCTGTTGGAGAAAACATGTTTTTTAAGCTGCTGGATTCAAACTGGTTGGCCATATGGGATCCAGCTCCCTATCAGTTTACAGATCAACTAAAAAAAATTCTTTCTCATTGCCAGAGGGAGTATGGCTCACTAGCGAGAGACAGAGAGACAAAGAAGGTGAGAGGGAGAAAGCAATGAGGTATGGCCAGACTGAGGCCCTTCTCCATCAAGCGAGGATTCTGGACACGTGTACACACGTGCACATGCATGCACACACACGTGCCCAGCGTATCTTCTAAGCTGCCAAGGCTAGGATTCGAACCATGGTCACTCATGAGGGACCATGGCTCTCCTGATCTTTGGGGTGTGGGGGGGGGGGGGGGGGGCAGCCCTGTTTTTTAATGACAATGAATAATTTTTTTCAGAACTTTGAAGCTTTCATCTCATAAGATACATATTTGTTAAACAAAATTAGAACTGACTGTGGAAGGTCCAGGTGAAACTTCATAACAGCACATAATGACTGCTTTATTAACTGCAGTCCAGGGTGTGGCTCGAGAAAGTCCTTTAGTGGGAATCCTAGCAGCCGCTGTACGACTGCCTACGTGGGTACTCAGGACGTGGCACTGTCATCCTTGCTCTTCATCCGCTACACTGATCCCCAGTTACCTCCTTCCACCTTCCTTCCCCCAAGTGTCTCAACAGTGGCAGGGCTGGGGTTTAAGGGATTTAAACTCTTGTCTGTCACAAACCAACCAGCACGTACAGTCCCTAGAATTCTACCTCATGCCCCTCTCAAAGCAGAGCAGCCACACTCAGCGTGTAGAGAGAGGGCACCTGGGTGACACCAGTGAGCAAAGTGGCAGGTGACGTGCATGTCCACGTGTGGGATGTGAGCCGTAGAACTACGGGGGTCGGAGAGGGGACGGAAGGGGGCGATGGCTCTTGAGCTCTAAGGATCGCTACTGCAGAGATTTCGAGTTCATGGAGAATAGAACTAAAGTAAGTTTAGTTTGATGCCAAAAAAGGTGAAAATCTATGTATAGTATTTTTTGTAATACACATTTCCACGAACTTTTTGAAGCCACTCGCATGTAAGATCTTGCAATATTAAGAAAAACCAGATGCTCAGCAGCTCGTGTTTACTCCTGAACATTGAAGTGTTACTCCAAACTTGTGTGTCTGAAAAGCACTCTACGCGCCACCCATTCTCAACCTCTGCTAATGCACCGTTAGTGGCATCTTTTGAAGGGTGCTGGTTTGGTACGCACAATTCTGTAGGGCTCTTTTCCTAAGTGTCACCCACCCTGGGGATGGGTGAGCAGGAGGTTCACCAACACCTTCAATACAAAGGGTGCTCTCTTTCTCAGGCAGCTGACATGCACTTGTGGACTACAGCCCTGCAAGGTGCAGCTGCTCACTGAGGATCGCAAGGTGCTCTTCCACCCAGGGGACACTGACCGAACTTCATCTCATTCCCGCAGTGATGCCAGCCTGGGGAGTCACCTACCCGTTTGTCGATGTCATTGTGTTGGAGCTGCACAAAGCGAGCACTGATGGCTGCAATGTAACTCTGCTGATTGGAGAACGCCACGCGGCCAGCACCTTTGGGGTACTTCAGCTCTGGGTCCGTATCAATGCCAGCATAGCAGACACCACCGTACAAACGGTCCATGATCATTGCCAGCTCGACTGAAAGAAAGTAAACATGGGGACGTATGAACTTTGGGGAGTTACTTTGCCCAGGGGAAAATGCATTTAAAGATCATGTGGTGTAACTGAGAAAAGGAAAACCCATGTGAAGTAGCACAAAGAATGTCCATGTATTCTTGAATGTCTACAACTCGAGTAGTGGAGCTCCTCCTAGGATATTTTTGAAGAAAATAAAGAACTTACACATACACACACAAGGATTTACATAAGCAGAAGGTCAGCAGGGGTAGAGAAGAAATAACCAGGAATCCTCCATTCTGAGTTCTAACTGCTTAGTCCCGAGTAAACCCTGAGCAGGCGAAGCATTTCATGACACCATAATGTAAGAAGAAGCGGTCCTTCTGGGCCAGCCCGAGGTGTGGTGGTTAAAGCAGCTGGATCCCACATCATGGTTCGAGCCCTGGACCCAGCAGCCTGAAAAACATGCCAGGAACATATGTGTGTGTGTGTGTATGCACAAAATCAGAGACAGAGGAGGAACTGCAACATGACTATCCCCCATGGGGGATGCTTTCTCCTTCTTCCATCTCTCCAGGGAATGCATATGCCCTCTGGCAAAAGTTAAAAAAAAAAAAAAAAGGAAACAGTCCTTTGTATCAACCTCCAAGACCGAAAGCAATTACTAATGTTAGGACTAAGTAAGAATTTAACTGGAGACAATTATTTATAGCCTTAAAATAAATCTCTACAATGTAAAAAAAAAAAAAAAAAAGAAAGAAAGAAAGAAAGAAAGAAAGAAGCAAAGGGCCAGCCCCCTAGCCTAGTGGTTAAGGGAGTCAGATCCCACATGGCTGACTGATGTTTAATTCCCAGCCTGGGAGGCGCCAAAATCATGCTGTGTGTCCAAAATGGAGACGTGAGGAGAAGGGGTTGCAGCGTGATCATGCCCCACTGGGGATGCTTTCTCTCTCTCTCTCTTTCTGTCAAGTGTACATGCTTTCTAGCAATTAACCAACCAAACGAAAACACTTTTAAATAAAACAAATAAAGATTTTAAAAGTATATTGTATCCAAATTAAGAGTTCTCAACACTAACTCCTCACCTTGAGTTCTAAGGACACTAGGAGTGCCAACAGGAGCAGTGCACGTTTTCGGGCATTTCCGACACTCTGAGCAGCATGAGGTCGCTGCACGGCAGGAAAGCCAGACCCATCCAGCACCTTGCTATGGACCCTAAAGTCTGGTTTGCACTCCTTGTCATATTTCTTTTAAATATGCCTCTCTGTCGATTTATAAAAGACTCACTGAGAAGGCATCTGGAAATCGGACCATTCTGAAGGTCTGATACTCTAAATCTATCCCTACCAAATAGGTGCAGTGAGAGACAAGGAGCAGTTGCCTACCTCCCAAACTGCCTGCAGGTAGCTGTTCTCTTGCTACTGGACAGCCCCTCCTCAGGTCCTGTCCTTTCAGGCTTCTCACATGGTGTAAGTCCACGTGGTTCAGCCCCAGCCCAAGAGAGCAACCGAAGGACCCATTTCCCTCAAAGACCTACATACAGTATTTGGAAAGAAGACAGACAATGACTCAGGCCACTGCCGATGTGGGAAGACCACCTCACTGTAGGACTCTGCGGGAACTAGTGTCTGGGAAGAAGGAAGGACAGGGCACAGCCTGGCAGGTGGGTGACGTCCACAGCACACAGAGGGCTGAGGGCTGAGTGGTGGAAGGACCCACAGGAGTTCTACTAGTGGAGGAAAGCCAAGTGTTTATTACTAGTTCTTGTAACACGAACCTGCTGAGGCAGTAAGCAAGACTATGTTGCCAGGTCAGAGAGGCCTGGAGTTTCTTTCCATAACAGACTGCCTATTATTGGTGATTTTTTTCCCCAAGTGCCTATTTTCAACAGAAAGAATGACTTGCAAACAACAGGTAATTTTCAGAAGGTAAGAAAATAAGCTAGTAACAACCAAGTCTACGATCCAGTGCTCCTGAGGACAAAGCAGCAGAAAGCCATCCTGACCATCCCAGTGTGGTCAGAACTACTGCATCAGCTTAGCCAAGGGAGCATCGCCGTGGTGAGAGCCAAGAGGATCCTGACTGCGACTCTGGGCAGGATCCAGGAATCACATTCATTCAAACAGTGCAACAAGGGTCATGCAGAGACTCTGAATGTCATCATTCAGTGGTCCCTCATGCTACGTCCTCCCAACAGCCTCTGACGGCTCGAGGAGCCCTCAAGTCACTAATGTTACCCCAGTAACAGAGGCCAAGAAACTGAAGGTGGAATTAACTATTAATCGAGTCACTACTGAGCTTCCTTTATTGGCTGAATGGGCTCAGTAAAACAAGTAACCGCAGGCCCTTGAAATTAAACACTAAATTTCCAAAGGTCAGGCTTCTTCCGGAATGGAATGAGAGAGAGAATATCTTCGGAGTCTGGCAAATGGCCAGGAAAAAATGCTGGCCAAGGCCTGAGGGGCACTTGTTTTGCACCGAAGGAAGGACACAAGAAAGCGTCTGCCTCAGAAAGAAGACCCGCCGGTTGTAAGCTTGAAGCTCAGCTCACAAGGAGAGGCTTCCTTTCACAAGCACAAACATCCCGCCACTCTCAGTTTATCTGCTGGAGAATCACCTCATGTGCCAAAGATTAGGCCGTGACTGATGCTGGCAGCTAAGCACTCTCGATGGGAGACGGAAACCCTCACTTACCTATGCCTCTGTGAAAACTAATGATAAATAATCTCCATTTGTGAGCTTATGGACAGTCATTTTCTTAGCCACCAAAATGTCAGCAGACATTTGAGCCAGTAAAGTTTCACCCACGTGAAGGATAACTTAAGAAGCAGGGAGAAACCAAAGTGACTAAGAGAAGAATTTTTAAGAGGAGAATAGAAAAACTTCCCATTTCTCTTTCTACCGTAATTTGTATTTTAATTACAGAAAGTCTAATACTATTATCACTTTTGAAGAAAAGAATAGTCAAACAACGGCTGTCTGCCCAGGTCTGTTACTCAGCCAGCGAGTCCTCACTCAGCACATGTCCACAGGCTGAATCCACGCTAGGCTCCAACACCAGAGGGATGTCGTTTACAGAGTTTCTACTTATTGAGAAAAATACCCATCTTTTCAATGAGTGACCACTGTTTTCAGTAATTACAATGCTGTAAAAATAGCATTAAAAAAATAATAATTTGAGACCATCTGGTGGTGTGGTGGATAAGGGTGCTGGACTACCACATGGTCAACCACAGTTCAAGTCCTGAACCTGGTAACTTGCTTTCTCACCTTCCTCTCTCTCGCTCTGTCCCTCTCTGGTCAAATTAAATAAATAAAGCGAAATAAAATAACTTTAAAAAAAGAACTAATTTAATCCACCCATTACTACATAGATGACAAACAGAAATACAGAGCTAGCCTTCTTCAAGTCTTACAAATTTCCAATCTGAGATTTTTCTTTTTTATACAGAAGATATAAATTTACCTACAGATGTCAGAACGTACAACTGCTTTCAGAGACTAGGCTTTAAAGGATTCTGTAAATGAGTATCACCAGTTAATATTCAATAGGGAAGTCCTATGTAAGTGCCCTTCCTGTAACAGGAAGGAGGTGGAAATGAGAAGAAAGGCTTCATTTTGCTTATCTGGAGGGAGGAGAGAAGATAGAAGAAAGCAGTAAATGTCTGGTTAGAATCTACTACAAATGTGATGGCAACTCTGCTCATGAAATCTGAGCCCTTGATCAAGAATGTGTCTTATCTGGACAACGGAGGAAAGCCATCTACTGAGCCTGTGAGAGTGGATCTTCATTCTAAACCACCCTCTGCAGAGGGCAAGGACAGAGCAGCTCCCTGGAGCATGTTCTTAGGATTTAACCCCAGGAAGATGAGGGGATCAGAGCAGGGCATACAGAAGAGCTCACACAGAGGTGATGGCATGGTCTGTGAGGGAGTCAAGACTCTCCAAATCATGATTTATCTCTTCTTTCCCAACCAGACAGTGTTCACAGAGTCTATCTGGTCAGCACTGCAATGGAAAACCACAGTCCTGGTGGCTCTGTCTAGTGGCATACTGCACATTTTTTATTAAGAGATTTTTACAATGGGGTGTATGCACTAGCTGGAGAGACAGAGAGAGACAGACAGGCAGACAGACAGAAAGCAAGAAATCACCCCTCCCTGCCCCCACTGTGATGCTGCAATCCCTTCTCCTCCATTCTCCTCTCAGGATCTTGGGCTTGCACGCACATGTACCGGGCATGAGTTTTAAGCTGCCGGGTCTGGTACTCAAACTGCGGTCAACTATGTGGGAGTCCAGCGACGTAACCATTACGCCATCTGCTGGTCCCGCACACTGTACCTTTAACGAGATGTTCCATATTAAGACAACTCCAGTGGGCTCAAACAACTTTGGGTGGAAACAGCAACACTGCTGTGAGTCTAACCCCCATGCTGGCTCTTGTGATGAGCTTCCCTGTGCCACAGACTGGAGAGCAAACTGTGCACGTGGCAGCGTGTGGGGGTACAGTGTGCCTATGAGTTCTCCTGGACTGCGGTGGTATACCCTCGAAATGGAATCTGAACCCCTTACGGTTCCTTGAATTTACTTCTGATTCTTCCCAGAGATCTGGAAGGAACCTTGTTCACTCGGCCCTGCTTCGTCCAGGGCCCTGTTCATATCCTTCACTTACATTTCAAAGCCAGCTCTAAGGTGATGCCTAAGCCTGAGACACCGTGAGAGCCAATGTGGTCCTGCGAGAAACACCAATACATTCTTTATGGAGTCTATACTGTGAATCTAGAAACCACATTTTCTTCTCCTTGGAGATAACGATAAAGCAGACATGAAAGAGGCAGAGGGCACCTCGGGATGAAGAAGAGATCTACACTTCCGAAAGACAGGAAGATTGAACTTGATGGTAGATTTCTGGCAAGCTGGTTCACCAGGGCAGTTCACAAACCTCAAGCAGAGTAAGTGTACTCACAAGCTTCCACTCTGCATCAGATAGTGAGGAGTTAAGATGATAGGAACGGCCACCT